TAAAGTCATTAAAACTAACCTCCTGCTTGGGAAATTTAAAATTAAAATCCTTTAGAAAGTGTTCTAAAGGGTTTAAAGCTGCAGCACAGAAAAGTTTTCTGGAGCTTGCTGCTTGTTTCTGTACCCTGTGTTCAAAGTAGGTCTAGCTATGCAAGCCAGAGATTTGCTTGGAGTCACTGAGTGCAGGTTCCTAAATCACCAGCCACTAACGTATTCCACAACAGTTTTCTGTCCTCAGATTAGTCTTCTCCTGCCTTGTACCAGACTGGCTGGCTAATTACTAAGTGGAAAAAGTTTGGTCTTGATCCTCACCCAGGCCCAGCTTAGTGCAGAGAACAGATCAGCTCATTAGCCAGGAGCACATCAGGTGCCAGCATCTTAACAGAGCGGGCTCTTAGTCTTTGCCCTTCAGGAGCCTGTCTTAAGAGCATGGGTGATACCTGTCTGTTATTAAAGATAAGAAGTGCTCAGACCTTATGGTTGTGGGAGCTTCTAAGAGTGTGAGTCAGATCATCAGCTGTGCAAGGTACATGCCAGGCTGCGTATGGAAACACTTTCTCAAGCTGCTCTCCTCAGAGGTACAAAGCTGCTAATAGTGTTACACCAGCTGTGTCCCTGGTTCTGAGAAGAACCTGCCGTGCATCAACCCAATTTAAATACCCAGGGTAAGCCCTTAATAGCAACTGCAACACCTGCTCTGTCCTCTTTCAGACGTTCCTGGATACATCTCCTGCACAGATCGTGCCTGCAAGGTTAGTGGTCAAACTGTAGTATAGCTGCTTAAAAACAAATGTGCATGTTCTCTTTGATTCTCTACTAAATCCTACAAAACCTGTCATGTAGAAAATGGTTAGCCTGGAGCACAAAGGATGGAAGCAAAAGGCTGTTAATCTAAATGAGATATGTTAATAATTGGATAATATTATAGCTCAGAAGACCAGGAGGAGTTATGCTCTTTTCTAAAGATGTTGTTATTGTCTTATGTTTGGCTTTGCCTAAAGAACAGAACATGTTGGATAGAGGAGCACGAACTTGCTAGTAGTGAACTAGCAGGGGTGTCCTGGTGGTTTGCAGATAAGTTCTTACCCCAGAATCTGCAGTGGCAGCACGAACAGTTCTTTCCAATCAGCTACTTCAGATTCTTTGTCATGTTAACTACAAAATCATTTAAAAAATATTAAAATATATCTCCTTTTCATTGTGAGTTTTCTTCAGCCATTTTTGCAGCAGGATGTGATTGCTGCTGGTGTCCCTGGTTGAGCAGTGAGCTGTGTATATCTCACAGCTTTCGCAGTTCCCTGGCTATTGAACCATCAAGGCCTGGATGACCTACTTGCACCGAACCCCCTTGTAAGCAGGGCTATCCCCTTTTTGTTCTTTTTTTTATTATGTGTCTTTTGGTGTTGTCTAAAGAAAAATGCTCAGTAGCCTTGTGCTGATGAATTAGATGAATACTGCATAATTCCGAACAGCCTCTCCAGCTTTCAGTAGGACTGGCCCCTGTGCAGGAGTCAGTGCTTTAAGAAAAGGTGTTTCCAATAAACTTAGGTGAGCCTGTGCAAAGGGCTTTGTGCAGATTCCTGGTGGTATTTGCAGCAGATTTTATTTTTCTGTTAGCTACAGCCACGTAGAAACAGGTTTTGGATATAATGAAACAATCTGTTTAAATTGGTGTATATAAAGAGACTTTGAGATTTTAATTGCCCTGGTCATTCATTCTCACAATCAGTCAAGACATCGTTTAGACCAAGGAAAGTCTGGTTCCAACATGAATCTGACCAGGAGATGGCAGCATTGATGCATGCAAGGAGTAGCCAAAAGTTAAGAAAACACTTTTCCCTGCATTGACAGAGGGAAAAAATTACCTTCATTTAATTGGAAGATATATGTCTTAGCAATACATAGATAAATGCTAACAAAATAGTCCTATTTTTAGCTTTTGTCCCTAGCTGGCTAGGGCAGGTCAGTAAATTAAAAATGCACTTGGGTTTGTATATAAATACTGGGAGTCACCCTTTGACCTGGTAATTATTTAAGAGAAGGATTTTCTAATTCAGTACTCTTTTGTTCACAAGTGGTTATAGTGTCCAAAGGCTAGAAAGATAATAGATGCTAATATTGTCATTTCTGCTTACCTGCTCTGTAAGGTAATAATAGCTTTGCTTGTAGCTATAAAATTGGGGTTTGTTAAAGCTTAAATCTAAAAAATCCTCGAGCCTTTTGTTTCAGTGTTATTCCCTTCCTGCCCTTATGGTGTGTGCGTGTATATATATATATACACACACACATATATATATATGTACATTGACATGGGAGAGAGTCTGGAAACTGAAGAATTGTGTTACTGGTAAATAAGGAAGTAGCTTATAGGGCAGCACCCATTTTTCCCCTGAAATTGATCTGTAGGATTTTGATTCAGTCTTTCTGCTCCCATCAAAAGACAGGAATAGCTCCTGGCTCCAGAGTGTGCTTGTTAAAAATGAGCGTGGCCCCTGTCAACAGGGTGCTGTTGCCTGATGAATGTTAGCTGAGAGCCCACTGCTGTACCCTCTCCGTGGCTGGCTATGCAGATGGTTGGCAGAGAGCTCATTTGTCACGGGGTCATCCCCAAAACCAGTAGGATGTACCAGGAATGTCCCGAGTTTGGCAAGCTGTATTGTGCTTTTCTGTGGCAAGCAACAGGCTGCATCTCTGTGAGCAGCCAGGAGATTAAAAAGCAATTTCTTCCTGGGATCTTGGTGATGAGTGAAGTGAATGGGCTCCCACCATGAAAGGCCACATTATTGTCTGTCTTCCATGTCTACTTATCTAGTAGTCGATGAAGGTACAAGCAATTTGCTTATAGCTCTTGGATGTCTGAAAGTTTAAGTGTGAATTATCTTGGTGCAGTGTTATCACACTGGTGTTGCTTGAACACATTTAGCAAAGAAAGCAGCTGGCGGAGAGGTGCGTTGTGTTCTTTGAACTTTGGCAGCGTTACCTGGAAGGCCCTGCAGTGATTGAGAACTGAATATAATAGATCTGAGATTGTTCTGCACCCATCTATCCCAGGTTGTTACTTTTTTTTTATTTTAACCTTGTGGGCTAATAAGACGTGTGAACTTCATCTTGCATACTTCCCTTTAGAGACCTGTGTTTGACTGACATCAAAAGACCGCTCGGATTGCCATTGTTAGTAAGGTACACATGTAGGAACAAATAAGGTAACACGTAAGTTCAGGTGCACAGTGGAAATGTCACCGTTCAATCTGATGCTGGCAGTTGCAGCTCATGTCTTTTTTAGTATGAGAAGTGCCCTGTGGAGCCAATCTGACAGCGCAGCCCGGGTGACACGAGCCTTTATTCCCTTTTGTAACAGCACAATGTAATCACTGGGTTTTGTTCTTGTGCAGCCATAGATTCCCTTGTAAGCGCAAATTCAAATAGGAGAAACATCAAAGTTAATTTGAAATGAAATGCACCCCAAGTAGTCTAGGGGAGATGGAGACATTACTTTGTAGCCACCCTTCTCCTGCCAAAACTGCAGCACCCCAGATGTCAGGAAGCCACACTGTGCTCTTTGTCTGGTCCTGATTGACTAGATTGTTTTCATCCGAACCTTTTTAAAGCTTTCCTCCCGCTTCCATATTTTTAAGGAATAAAAAGCTAATATAAGGACATGGAGTGTTATGAAGCATGAAGTTCTATAAATATTTATGCTGAACTATCAAAAAACTTGACAGTTCTTATTTTCTTGACAGATTGGGGTCACTTGTTATTTTTGACCCTGAGAATTGAAGAGCATATGGAGTTAGATCTGTTTGTAATGACTTCTGGATATTGTTGTCTGGTAAACTTGTAGAAATGTAACATGATAACAAACTTTTTCTTGGTCTCTTTGTGAAAATGGAACTTAAACCTTGTACTGTGTTAACCACAAATGACCACTGAAGTTACTGTCTCTTGTGCAATCTGGCAGTGAATTCCTGAACTTTCTTTGGCACATGGGTCTCTGAGTGGTTTGCCACTTTAGATGGATAGCTTTCACCTGGGGTGCTCTTGACTTGAAGTGCTCAGTGATCACCTTTCTGTCTAGGGACCAGATTCATCGCAGGGGGTTCCTGAGCCAAAGGAGACTGAAAATCTGGTGAGGGCCTGTGGTGTCTCCAGTGTTTTGCCACCAGTCCCAGCGTGGCTTTAAGTATCTCTGGGGCCAAATGAAGACAAACTCTTAAAAGTTTAAGTTCTGACAAACAGGTATTTTCTAGAGAGATAAGAGACTTGTAACTCTCTGATGCTTCAGGATCCTCATTCCTCAAAATGATGTGCACACAAGCTTAACTCCTAACTGAAGTTGTAGTGGCAGGTGAGTGTTTTAAAGCCAGGTCTGACTGTTTCAGAAAACCTGGAGCTTTGTGTCAGCACCTACGTTTTTACATCCAGCTGCAGGGGTCTTTCTTGCCTAGTAAATTGTGTAGGAAAGAATCAATCCAATGCTTCACTTTAAATGAAATCCAGTGTATGTTTTAAGGTAAACCTTGAATATATTGTGTACATCTAAAGCTAACCAGAGTGTCTCTTGCAGTCAGTCACTAGAGGGCACAAAGGAACTACTTAGGAGCGAAATTCGTTCTTCAAGTCCTGACTCTTCAGTCGGATCAGTTCAGATCTTTGAAAGAGGGGGGAAAAATTCCTGTGGCTGCCAAAAGACAGAACGGCTTCAGAATTTTGGTTGCATCAGTGATTTTCCACACCCAAATCTACTTCTGGTTTGGAAGTTAAAAATTTGAGGAGTACTTGAATTTTTCTGTTAGTACAATTTTGTGTTCAGAAAGTACAAAGCTCTCAGAGCAAATGCGTAAGCTGCTCATAAACAGCTTTTAAGTTCAACTCGTATAATTATAAAAATTATTGCCTTGTTTCTCAGGTTTCTGTACTTGGAACAATCTCCAGATATATCTGCTACATGAAGAGTAAGGCAGCAGTAGGAATTGCTGTCTGAACGTATGGTTCTTTTGCAGGTTGCATGCCTCATACGGGTTCCATCTGAGGTTGTCAAGCAAAGGGCCCAGGTTTCTCCTTCCTCAAGTACCCTCCGGATTCTCTCCCACACCTTGTATCATGAGGTGAGTTCAGAGCAAAATTTCCAAGAAGTTACTTAATTCTTTCCATTCAGAGCCATACATGTCTAGAAGCATTCCTACCACTTTGTTCCAGTGCTGTGCTCTCCCAGTACTTTCCCATCTATTCTTCTGTCACTAAAAGTGATTGGCATGTTATGGTTAAGGAAATCAAACCCCCACCTCCCCCATGTGCATGCACTTACATGCACACTCTAAACAACTCTTTTTCCTCCTCTTTTTATATGAGGTATGTACATTAAAAAACAAAACAAACACCTCTCCCCCCCCCAAAAAAAAAAAAAAATCCTCAAAAAAAACCAAAACAAAAACCCAACTGTGATTTAGCTTTTGGGTTTCCAAAGCTCTGCTTGTATTCATGCAAACAGTCCTTGTCTGGGACAACAGGACATCAAGTCTCTATATCTAGGGTTTGCTGAGTGGTCTCCAGTTTTTGAAGCAGACTTTGGAAGGAGTGTCCTAAAGGCAGCATTTCAGAGAGGTTCTGTAGGAGCTCTGGAAATTAGTGCTCATCCAGTATAAATAACTTTAGAAAAATAAGGGCTTTTGTCATCTTTACAGGAAGGAACAGTAACTACTGAAAAAATCTGTTTGCCACTGTTCTTACTGAATCTTACAAGAGGTGTTTTAAAAGTTGTGTTCCATAAGAGAAAGTGGCTCCTGAACACACTGTGGGGAAAAATATTATATACATTTCCATGAGTAAAAGCTAGGAAAATGAAGACATAAATATGACCTTTAAATGATCCACTTGATTTTTATTTGCTTGTAAATGAAAACTGTTGTGATAACCCTGCACAAGAGGGTCCCTGGAATCTCTTCTGTGGTTTGGTCATTCTGCTCTCAAAACCATATGTTTTTTTTCCCTTTTTGTAGCTGGCCAGAGAATGATAAGACTTGCCAAAAAATGGAATAAACTATTCTATAAGATATAAAATACAATATTTATATGCATTTATAAAAATAATTTTTTAATTGTTCTGAATGTTTATCAGATGGTTAAAAATACAAAATTTGTGTCTCGATGAAAGCTCTGAATCAAGGCTAAGAAGGTGGGCATGGGAAACTGATGTCCTCTGTGTTCATTTTGCATGAGCTATTCAAACAGAAGTAGTTTCAAAATATTTATGGGATAGTGGATACTTCTGACCAAAATATTGGGCAACTAGAGTTTGAAATAATGTGTTTCTGTGCCTTCTTGCCCTTTTAATTTCAACTGTATGGTATATTTTCTTCTCTATAACTGATTATTCTAAACAGTGGTTAAATGATCTTTGAAATAAACTTAAATCCCTCTGGCACTGTAAATCATGGAATACAGTATACAGTGTTATAATCAATATAATAAATTAGCAAGAAATTCAGGGCTGACACTCAGTAAGGCTGTAATGCTTGCCTCGTAATCACTGATAAATTGTGGTCTTTGGCAAACTAATTCCCTATAGCTGATGGTTTCTTTTGTTGGTTTACAGGGTATTCAAGGGCTTTATCGGGGTTATAAAAGCACAGTATTAAGAGAGGTAAAACACTTGTCTTTCTCTTTTTTTTAAAAATTGATTCCTTTGCCTTGCTTTGTTTTCTAACAAGAGATAGCAGTACAATTGAGACCAATTGTTTTAACTATAAGCTCTAAATCCTAATATGTTTTATTCTAGATAAGTTACTAATTTGTAATTTAAATAGAACACTGATAATGTGCACTAAGAAAATCTGAGAGACGTGCAGAAAAGTAATTTACCATCCTGTCTCTCAGTTCAGTTGCTACTAAATCGTAGGATGGAAATTTATATATTACCAGGATGAAAACCATAAAATAAAGTACTGAAAACTTCCTCGAGTCTTGTGATTGCATCATGTGAATTATGCATGCCAACAATGGTGAACTGGTGGCATCAGGCCAAGTTTGGCACAGACAGATTTAGACTTTCTTTAAATATGTTTGTCAGCAGATGCTAAGAGATTATCTGTCATCTGTGTATAGCAAAAATTGTGCATGCTCTCTCTCTTTTTTCTTTTTTTTAATGTGTGAAAGATGCATTTAGTCATCCAGTCTGTGGACGTGATATGGTGTTGCTTAACTCTAAATCAGAAGTACTTCACTGGTGGAAAAAAATAGAGCTAAAAATATTTTGGCCTGCTTGTCAGAAAATGGTTCCTAAATTAAAATCTCTGTGTAAATGTACTGTGAATTACAGGATTAGTGTCGTGGAAGTGTTTGATATGCTGTATGAACTGAGGGCAGATGATAAAAGGAGTAGAAAAACTGATGAACTCTAAATCTAAAACTGGTTTAGAATCAAATCCCAGGAAGTCATCTTTTAACAAGGCAGAAGTTGCACTATATGGGTACCTCAAATAAAGAGACGAGGCTCAATTCCTATAAAAACCTAACAGCTCTTGCCCAGGAAGGGCTCTTTACTTACTGTGTTCAATGTGATATGTGTGGGTTTGTCATCTCCTTACATAACTCAAACTGAGATCCAAAAAAATTTGGATCTTTGCTTGTTTATTTTAAATACAGTATCAGATCTGTTGGCTGTGTTGCCATTGATAATAAAGCCACTTGCAGAGCCTTTTTAAGCCTTTATTCAGTAGCTCTGCTTTTAAAAGCCTTTCTTCATACTGAAAACTGTTTTTAGGACAGTTATGTCAGGCAGGTCGTGTTACACTATGGAATAAAGATAGATATTACCTCAAGTAAGAAATACCAAATTTAGTGATCCTTAAAGTGCTGACAGATGACAGTGCACTACCATCTATTTTAGCAGTTTTGAGTGTTTAAAAAATTAGTTATTTGTGCAGAGATGACACCTGCTTTTCTGAGATGTAACCCTCCCCATAGCTTTGTCCTGTACTTATTTTCTGGCTCACTAAACACGTGTTATACACTCAGATTTCATTTGTAGACGGGCAAAAAAAGGCCAACGAATCATTTTGATTTCTCTGAGGGGTTCTGAATAAATGAATAAATTTAGAACCTATTGAATACAGATTTTGCATACTAACAGGTAGATAAAACACATGGTTACTACTGGGTGCTATTCTCCTTAAAATTTGTTTTGACATTTGTCAGGGTGGTAATTAATTTGCAGACCATATTCATGGCATAGTGTATGACCCTGCTGAGATAACTTTGTTTACTCAAAATGGCAGCACTTTGTTGGAAATTTAATGGGGGTCCTCTCCATTATGTATATTCATAAAAGATCCTTCAGAACTGATTTCAGTTGAAGTATTGCTTTTTGGGAGAATCTGTCCAATAGAATGAGAAATAAATCATTACCAAATGAAATGTGCTTTCTGTTCAAAATGAAACAAATCATAAGTGATGTTTAAAAAAAAAAATAAAAAAATTTGAATTTAACACTGTTAAGACCGTTGCATTTTCTGACACTAAATAGCGTAAAGCAATGTCCACTAGAGTAAAAATAGCATATTGAACCTTCAGCTGGGACCGCTGTAAGCCTGATATTTAATCTTGGAATTTTCCCTTCTCTTTAAGTTTGCTTCTTCCTTTAGGGAAAGCCTTTATTTTCAGATAAAAACCTATATTAATTCATTATTGGAACATCCAGCTAGCTGCATAGCATGTATAGACTGATATTTAGTTCCAGATGACTCTTATACTTACAGAGTTCACATGCTTTGGTTCTTTACTTACACAAACCCCTTTGTTTATTTACAATGGAGTGGGTTTTTTGGATAGAGGGGCTTTAATGCATGATTTTTCATTTTAAAAAAAATAATTGTAAGAGGCTGGGAATATTGATGCTTTTCAGGTGATGATATTCTTGCAGTGGCAAAATTCTGGAGAAAGAATTTAAGAAAGGTTCATATTAGTTATTGAATCGGGATAAAATCTTGCATATTGCATAAAGCAGGTTTCAGTTCTTGGAGAGAGATCTGCTTGCCAATTGCTTGGACTTCAGTGAAAATGAGTCTGATTGTTTGTAAAGGGAGTGTAATGTTGAAACTTCATCTTTTTACCGTGGCATCGTAGATCTTTTCAAGACAGCCTTATTCCAGTCCATGTAATTTGCATTAGATGTTGTGCTGCTTCTGTTCTGGTGCAAGGTGTTTGTTACATCCTTCATTTTTTATTCTTCTTTCATTTATTCCCCTTATCTTCTTATCAGAATACTTTCTGTACAGATGACTATTACAAGAGAAAGAAGATGGCTCAATATGGAATGCTTTTGGAAATAACCTTGAGTGAACCTCAGTGCTTGGAAGTTTTGGCTATGCCTCTTTCACCTGCCTCCTTTTTGGTGCCTCTTCCCTCACATCTCTGTTACGTTTTGGCCTTTACATCTTCTGTTGTTGTGAGTTACACTGAACTAATCATAAAATCGAAAGGGAAGTGAGGTACAGTGTATCATTCTATTGGCAGTAGTAGCCTGAAAGAGGCATACGTGCTCCAAGAGGAAAGCTGCTGTGGTAAAGCACAAAGTGGGAGTATGGTTATTAGGTTGCTGAATGAGACTTTGAATAAATGGCAGAAACCAGAGGCTGTGAAATGATGTGGAATTCCCATGATGTCATTTCCAAAGCAAATCCAAGTGAGAATTGTCCTTTCCTATGGTCATAGTATACCAGTGTGCACCGGTGTGGAAACTGGATCATGCTGCTAAAAGCAGTCAATGAACAGGTAAATTTATTAATGTTTTCCACAACAGAGACAAGTTCATTTGTAATGTCTCCAGCCATCTCATAACAAGGCAGGAGCAGACTATAAATCCACTGTGAATCCTCTAGAATTTCTTAATGGGAATGTAGTTCTGCTGCTGAGATCTTATATAAGCAAATGGAGCCAGATTTTTAATTCCTGCATAATTCATTTTATTAACTATGACCAAGTAGAACATCTGTTAAAATTCCATAATGTTCAGTTCATGGGAAAAAGAGAAACTCCTGAGTTCTCGTTGGAGCTTTTCCATTTCCATTAATGATACAGGACTCTAGCAGATGTCTTAAAGGACATTATTATGAATGAGAGGCCGACACAAAAGAAAAGGAAGCGCCTTGTCCAGTTTCCCTGTGTACAATAGCTTCTGCACAGGGAGTTATTCAGGCTCTGTGTGCCTGTGCGCAGGTTGTGGCTTTGCACAAGCGGTGCCAGGGTTAACTGCAGTGTCCTGTCTGTCCCAAGTTACTGTAGGTTGGAAGAACCGAGTGGGTGTTCTGTGTGGTTTTAATCTAATTTGTTGCTTTTAAAAATATTGTAGATGGTCTGGGCCCTAGCCCAGAAGTAGATTCAAAAGAAGCCAAAATGAATATTAAACTCTTCCTTAAAGACAAAAGGGATGAAGGACTACTGAACTAATTCACAGGTGGTGTGAAAAGAGACTGAGAATCTCTCTCAAATACCAGTCTTTGCTGTGCAGGTAGCTCTGAGTAAGCTTGTTGTACTGCCTTGTAGACTTCTGAGACAGTTCAGGCTCTGTGCTTGTGGTGGCCTCTGTTCAAGTAGAGGTGGCAATGGTGCTTTACTTGACAGTGTTTCAGAACTCATCTTAGGGCTCTGAATTTGAAAGGAATCTCCTGGTAAATCTGAACCGACTCTTGTACAGCATGCTGTTCGCTTGCTTTCAGTGAGATAGCCTAGTCAGCACTTCTGGGAGTCCTGGTTTCTTAGATTAATCCAGTTGTGTGTTGTTTGTTTTATTGTTTTGGGTTTTTTGTTGGGTTTTTTTGTCCCTTTCAATGTATACAAGTCAGAGCCCTGAGTGGATAAAGCGCTGTCTTGAGGGTGAGAGCACTCCATGCTATATTCATTTTGGGGAGGAGGAGGACAGCTAGTTGGAAGTATGCTGTTGCATCAATGAGTGGCAGCAGTGTGACAAACAGGCAACAAATTCAGGCTTTTCCCAATCTCGGAAAGCCAAGAAGCAATAATGTCTCCTGAGGAGGAGGTGCTGTTCCATGTATGCAGCAGAACTAGCATCCTGTTAGTGTGTGTATCAGGGGATATGGAGGATACACAAAGAAGGAGCTATCAGAGAAAAAGACCAAGTACCACCTCCTCTCTTAAAGGACTTCCTGCCTGGGAGAGGGAATCTAAAGCAACTGGCAGCAAAATGGGCCTCAAAGGCACACCTGCTGCATTTTCCTAAATTTAAAGGGTCAGTGAACAAAGGATGCTGAGAAGGGTTTCTATAAAAATGTGAAACCCAGCTGACGTGTTAAAACACTGTTGACTGAGGGAGGGAGGGGATCTCTGAGGGCTGAGCTCGATAGGGAACAGTCTGCAAACAGGGAGCCTAGTTTGTTTATCCACTAGAGGTAGTTTTGCATGCTTTTCTTTTGTTAGGACATCTTTATATAAATATCCTGTTCTCCTTGCTGTTAGGGTTTTTTTTTTTAAGTTTATCTCTGTTGCTGTAGGACAGAAAGAATGTTATTAATACATTCTTCTACTTGCACAATTAAAACTTTGATCTTCTATTCTCTGTGTATTACAGAGCAGATGCTGATAGAAATAGGCAAACAGGACACTATCTTAATACAATATTTGGAAAAA